TCACTCGAATACATTATTTTATTTTTATAATACTTTTTTTTCAACAGTGAAGGCGGCAGATTCTATGAGAAGATCAAAGCTCAATTTATCTGAAATGCTCAACGAATTCGTACTGACGACAAGAGCTAATTAATGGCACTTCAAATACAAACATTCATTTTGCATTTACTATTACAGATATTTTCAATTACAATTTATGAATATAAGTGACTTTAACAATTCATGATAATATTTGATAATTATAACACATTTGACAAACATTTTGTAGAAGTACAATGAACATTAACATTAAGGCGTAGAGAACATAAAAATGGAATTGATGAATTGGTCAAATTGCTTCATTTAATCGCTTCTTTGCTTCATCGATTGCAATTCTCTATAATCGACCATGTCACTCGTTCCGATAATTTTTTTAACTGGCTGATCATGAATGGCCAATTGTTGATTGTAACAACCTTGAGGTGCCTGCAAGTGATCGTGCAATAATCTCTCCTATCTTTCTATCAGCATGTGCTTAAGTAATTTGTTGAAAATTGAAGCGATTGAAGAGATGATAAGGAATCCTGATAGCTAAATTAGCGATATGAATTTAAACTTCAAGAAAAGAACATAATCATTCTGCAAAGCATCCTCTATTTGAAACATCCTGTAAGAATTCTGAAGGAAAAGATAATTTCCTCAGAAAAATATAATTCTTCTTTCAGCAATCAATAATTTTCATCATCAAACTTCCAATGAACCATTCATACTAACTCTTCATCAAACATTCACTAATGATAAAAATGATAATTGGTGCTATTATATTGGATAATAATGACGAACAATTTTCAAACAGTGGTGAAAACAGCAATGACAACCTTTCGGAATCGTTTAAAATTATACGCTCCTGCTGATAAGCCAAATGCTGATCCTGGCCGACTACCATAATCTGAGGAGTTGGTTTGATTGTAACGAGTACTATTACCATCATCAGTGTGTCGTATCAAATTCGCATATTCCACTAATTTTTCACTTGAGCTGAATTATTAACGATCATCAACTCGATCAGAATTACAACCACGATTAGCTTAATAAAGACAGATCAATGACTTCATGAATTATTCACGATTCACTAAAAGAAACCATTAGGAGACGAAGTGAAGAAGAAAATAAAAATGAAAACGAGTTCCGAGTTCAAGAAAATCAAATCATTCCTAAGATTATGAATTTCTTCGGCTATAAAAAGTCGATGCTTAGGAATGACGATAAAAATCATAATTGATGCTCAGAGAGGTATATGTCATTGGCGCATATGATCTTAATTGCACTGTAACTGAATAGCAAATTTTTTTAAAATAGGGATGCAAAACAAAGTAGAGACAAACTTTGAACAATGATCATTTTTCTGTGCTTTCCTGTTCTCGAATGAATGCGTTCCAGTTTCATTTTCACGGTCCACATCCATACGACAATCAGCATCTTCGTTACCAATCTCATTGTTAGTATCACCAAACACGCTCTCCGCAACTACTGTCCTCACTTCTGCAGTACAATTCTCAATCGAAATGAATGAATTCTCACTGGCCGACAACTAACGATGTTCTAGCTGACAATGAGCGTGAGCTTAATCTACATTAAAAATTACACTAAAAATCTTTTCTTTACACAGTCAAGTAACAGTTCCTAATAAATACATGTTATGAATAGTTAACAACGTGAACGGCGAATAATTTCAGATGAACAAAAAATAATTTTGAGTGATTTAAACCATCGACAGCAACACAACATTACTATGAACCACTTCGATCTCTATCAACTAAGGCACAAATCTCATGATCAACGATAAAACAATGGTGATTTGATGACACCGAAAGACAAGAATGTTCGAAAAAGCGAGTCGAATAAACAAACCATCGTCTAAGATTCGTCGTTTTTTCTTCTTCGGTGCCAGTCGATGCTGATCTTCGCCCTCATCCGAACTGCCACTACTATCCTTAGCCAAAGGGTGAGAATTTACGACCGCAACAGCAGGCTCATTTCCTGAATCACTGAACCGAAAAATGTTCACAGATCCAAGCAGAACATCAGGCAATAAATAATTTTACATCGAGAAATACGAGATAAAATCTCGACTTGATATGCAACAGAAAAACGTAAGAGATTGAGCGACACAATACGATAAACTTACGAATCACTATCGGAATCCCCGTTGACAGACGGTAGGAACTGTTTTGGTGGCAATTGGGTGCTCGACGATGACTGGCTTAAATTCATGAATTCAAAAACTAACAACCACTCATGAACTGAATAATGAGAGGCCCACAATGGAAGTAGACTGTAGTCTATAGAAAGTTATCACAAATTCAAAACACTTCGAGATGGACGATATTTGGGACGGTAAAGTGGTTTTCAGAGGAAAAAACTCACAATAACAATCCTCATACATACCAAAAACGCAAACGTTCTGCAATTTGTTTCCGATTGATTTTTCAGAGATATTATTTCCACAATTCAAAAATACTGATATGAGCGTATTGAATTGAAGTGATTCGCTTGAATAGATAACCTTTGTTTGGTCTGAGAGAAACAAGTTGAAAGGGAATTATTCGCAAAAATGTTTGGCTTCATTTGATTGGCACTTTGTTGCGTTTCTTTATCAACATCTTCCAAGAACTGAGTACGAGTCAACGTTTGCTTAAATTCACGTGAACATTTCATCTGAAATAAGTGATCACTAATTCACCTGAACAATCAAATGAGAGCATATCATCCGCATTATCACTATTCGAACCACTCGAATGAATAATATTATCTTATTTCATATTTCTTACTTCATTATCAGCCTTGTTATTACAATGGCACCGTAGCATACGTACCATTTCTCTTGTTATCATTGGTATGTGCAGTATAATACTTTCAGCACTCATCTCATTAATTTAATAACTAGCACCATCACCAACATCTCTCTTATTGTCACAAATTCAATTTCAAACAGGCAAAGTCGGAATCATCAGAACTGAATTGAATGAATCAGAATCGAACAATCGTCTGTATACTGCGTTCAATACAACAACGCTATTTTACCATTGCTAATTTTATCACTATCTTTTTGAATTTCCAATCTGATTCACATAACGTGAACTGATGATTACCTTATCATGAGAGTTTTCCTCGTTCGTTTTTAGAAACTTTTTTTCGGTGACGCTGTCATCGTTTTCATCATAACCATCACTAAATTCATTCTTTTCTGACGATAAACTTCCAATTGTAAAGTTGAAGGTACCAATCTGAAAAATTTTTGCTTTCATTGAAGCAAATAATAAAAATGAAGCCAAACTGATATGTCGAAGATACGAATACCTGTAACGTGTCACCGCATTTCAACTGCCGTTCTCGCTGAACGGTTGATATTTCTTCACCGTTATAACCAGTACCGTACGTACTTAAATCTTTCGCGAATAACTGCAAAATAAGCCAATGTAACAATTACCAACATTCATTATTAAGATTATTATTATTGTGGAACGAATATCACTGCCAAAGTTTTGATCGGCTTCATAGATCGATCTTATTTTTTCAGTTGATTTGTTGTTAGTGTCTTTTCCGTTGAACTAATAAATAGAATTTGGAAACCATTTCATTTGCAGACATCCAGTTCCACAAATAAAACATTCAATCCTTCAAAATTTCACATCCAATAAAGAAAAGAAAAGAAAGAAAAGAACTGTTGAAAAAGAATTAATAATTACGGATAATAATAGAAATTATACTCGAAGTATATTAATTACAATTTGGATGGAATGAAAATGAGTTGAATAATGGCCAATTAAAAAACTCACTGTACAGCGATTGTTAAATTTTCGCATTTCTAAGCACATATGCACTCGACTAACACCCTCAGCGTACGCACCCACACAAATCCCACACAACCGTTTGTCACGACCTATTTTCACGGTATCACCGACTGATTCAAATTTAAAGAGTTTATCACCTGAAAATAAAATTCTCACTACTGCCATTAAGAATAATTCATAAAGCAACAATAATAACAATGGTTACAAATGAGACTCACAAAATTCATTCGTTTCAACGAATCAAACAGATTTCAAGAATGATTTGAGTAAAACATNGGTGCTCATTTAACAGAAGAATGCGACACCCTTTCCTCGAGCTGTCAGATCGTCAGTACCAATAAGGATGAATCAAATGATGCTGCGAAATCAGTGAATCAATTGATCGAAACTGATAACTCTTTGAATCTGAAAGAAACGTCCAAACTGCAAATTCGAAAGATATAATACCGATGGATGCAAATAAACTTTAATTATAAAGTGAAACATGCGAACGAAAGGTGCACTTTTAAAGATATCGGTCGAACTAGACAATGGCCGTTTACCAAAGCAGCATGAGAGAGAGCAACGCACGTTAGAGGTTTTCACAAATGGGAGCAAGTAACAGACACATAAGGGAATGTGACTGAGATGGAGAGAGAAGTCTTTTAATTGTCAGCCTTGATTTCGGTAAGCTTATGCTTACCGAAATGCCCCGTCTTTTCCGCTGTGGCCAAAGTCGGCCTTTTGAGGTATTGAACATTCTCTCCTCTTCTACAGGTTCCTAACTCAGCAGCAAAAAACATTCTTAATCTAGCCACATGTTGGCTTAACCGGCAAACCAGCTAGTCAAACAAGCCTAGTGCCGGTACCCAGCCCGAACAAACAGAGAGGGAAAATGCATTCTTGCTTCATTTTTGCAGATATTACATCAAGTGTCGAATTTAGAAGCTGCTGCTACCTCCACGGATTCAACTCAAATCAATATAAACATCGTGATAACAAGTAACAACGACTATCATCTACATAATCACGGCTATTATATATACACGATAATAAATACCAACATTCAATAAGCCTTCAACGGCTCTCACATATAATGAAACGAATTTGAACGATACGGGTAAGAGAATACGAGTCACATAATTAATATGCTCAGGTTGAATGACTACGGTAACTAGCCACGCCCACAGTTAATGCAACCAACGGGAGTAGTAATCCCAGGGCTAAATGACTACGGTAACTAGCCACGCCCACAGTTAATGCAACCAACGGGAGTAGTAACCCCAGGGTCACATGACTACGGTAACTAGGCACGCCCACAGTTGATGCAACCAACGGGAGTAGCATCCCCAGGGTTTAATAACCCTATCCGTACCTTCCTTTCGCTGTTCGACAAACCACTCCCATGACAAACTGCTACCTCATACCAACGAATCAACAGAAAATCAGAGAATGAATCCACTGATCAAGAAGTTTTCTGATAAAAATTTGTCGGTTGAATAGAAAGGATCAATTTCATCTTATCAAAAAATTAGACTGATAGCATCACTGCTGAACTGCGATAAAATAACGAAAAGAATCAATCAACAGCGTCTT